ATTAAATGATCTGTATGTAGCCCTGTACTATGGATCATTTAACCCATTCATGTTAGCAGAGGATCATTGTAAATGTATTGTTGCAGGCACTCTATATGTACATGTACTATATACTACATATAGAATGCACTGAACAATAGATTTACAATTATCCTCTGCTAATATGAATGGGTTAAATGATCCGTAGTACATGATATGTAGCCCTGTACCCCCTTTCCCACTTACAGAGCTAGGTTATTGTTTTTCTTTTAAATAAATATTCATGTAATTTTATTGGTATCTATCTTCATTTTGTACATTTACCAGTAGCTGCCTCATTTCCCACCCTCGGCTTATACTCGAGTCAATATTTTTTCCCAGTTTTTTTGTGGTAAAATTAGGTACCTCGGCTTATATTCGGGACGGCTTATACTCGAGTATATACGTATACTCGAGTATATATCCTTTAATACTTCATAAATGCTTGCTGAAATAAAGGCTTCCCTTAGTGAGATATGAAGTGCATTTTGATGGAAAGTTTATTCTCTTATCAAATTAAAAAAGAATACAATTATTTGAAAATGTTTAAAATTAAGACAATGTTTTCCTTTAATCCTGAATGTGGCAGCCTTATATCTTTGAATACTTCAACAGATGCATGATACAGGGAGGATTGTTTTTTGATTGATTGTGATATGTAATTTATATCTATATATAATGTATATAAAAAAAATGTTTTTATGAAATGGTAGTTAGGGAGATTAGAGATTGACGGTAAGTACAAGGACTGGCAGACATAAAACTTTTTTGTTTCTTTCTAATTCTCCAGCTAACTTCTATCTTAAAGGAGAACTATGGGGTCAGTGTTTTCCCCCATAGTTCTCCTTAGGGTAACGGGAGGACACAAACTAGCGTCCTCCCGTTACCCTAAGCTCGGTATACCGCGAGCTGAGTATACTGAGTCGCCGGAGTGGATCCCGACGTAGATGACGGGATCCGCCCAGCTGCGTGACTGACAGCTGGCTCTGACTATCTAGAGGCAGAGCCAGCTGTACCCGCCCCCTCCCCCGTCCGTTCCGCCAGTCAGCGCTGGCAGATGGGAGGGGGGAATCGAGAGGTGAGCGAACAGGATCGAGAGGTGAGCGAACGCCTGTATGTGTTCGCTCACTTCTCGATCTACTGAGCCGACCTGTGACAGTCTCATTGTCACAGGTCGGCTAGAACTATGAGGTGAGTGAAAAGCACTCACCTAATAGTTCTCCTTTTTTAAAGCATAAATGTTCCTATAAAGTTTTTATGGGACTTAATAAGCACACCTTTTAGTGAATAAATGTAAACCTAAAAATATACACGTTACCATGTCGGGATACCTCATCTCTTGCTGCCCGAAAATGTGGTTAACCAGATCTCGCCAGATCTCGCCACCCAGCTCTGCCGTATATGGAAAGGGTTATGGGGATTTCAACAAATCCCATGAAGCATCTTTCTCCGGGAGTCGTGGCTGTAAGAATCTTGCAAAGCCTCATGGGATTCGTAGTTCCATCACAGCTGGAGGGCTGCACGGCCATCCCTGGCTTACGCCATACTCTCACTCCAGAGCATGTTGCTGATGTTCTTAGATTAACTAGTTGGGAACACACATGCATTTTGGGACTCAAGAAGGCTATTCTTAGGTGGCTTTCTCCCCAGCATCAGACTGCACGTTTTTTTTTAAACTTAATGTACTTGTTAGAATGTTGTTCTGTATTGCATAGGGGGGCAGATTGCACCATATTCTGTTGGCTAGGAATGTCCCAATACCACTTTTTAAAGACCAAGTACAAGTACTTCACCTCATGTACTTACAGATACCGATTACCGATACTTTTTCTTAAAGGGACAGGTGACTTTAAATGATCCATAGTACAACTACATGTTATGTACTATGGATCATGATTTAACCTATTCATGTTAGCAGGGGAGAATTGTAAATCTATTGCTGTAGTGTGGTGGAGGTGTGTGCTATATATATGTATTACATATATATTACACACGTCCAGTACACTATAGCAATAGATTTACAGCCAGCCCCGTCCCAGCTTCCCTCACTCACAGTTTCACTCCGACCCCTGTTGCCTCACGAGGTGCCTTAGTCGGCGCTGGGCTGGATCGCGTCTCGGTGCTCAGCTTGTGGGAGGCGCTCACAATTCTGCCCTGCTAACATGAATAGGTTAAATCATGATCCATGGTACATAATAGTACATAACATGTAGTTGTACTATGGATTATTTAACCCATTGATGTTAGCAGGGGATCAATTGTTAATCTATTGCTGCAGTGAATTGGGAATCTGTACATGTACTATGTACTACATATAGAATGCACTGCAGCAATAGATTTAAAATTCTGCACTGCTAACAAGAATGGGTTAAATGATCCATAGTACAACTACATGTTATGTACTATTATGTACTATGGATCATTTAACCTATTCATGTTAGCAGAGGATAATTGTAAATCTATGGCCTCCAGTGTATTAGCAGTGTGTACTACATATAGAGTACACACTGCTAATACACTGGAGACCATAGATTTATTATCCCCTGCTTAATAGTGCCTCCCCCTGTCCACACTCACTGTGCGGGAGAGCAGCTACGAGTCAGCGCTCTTCCGGTGAGAGGAGCTCCAGGTGGGGTCCTTATTTAGCTTGCCCATAGGTGCCGGCCAGCTAAATTGAGATCTCACCTGGAGCCCCGCCCACCGGACCAGTGCTGACTCGGCACTGAAGGACGACGCTGAGCTGAAGAGGAGCGTCACTGCTGCTCCGGTGGACGGCACTCCGAGTGGGGTCCTCTGGGCAATTCGCCGGCCACCTAAATTAGGACCCCACCTGGAGTGCCGCCCACCGGAGCAGCAGTGACGCGACGCTCGGCGAGGTAAGAAAAGAGAAAAAAAAACAGCGCAAGGTTCGGGGCTATGTATCGGGGCATTTTGACAAGTATTTGTCAAAATGCCCTGTATCAGTCCCGATACTGATGCTAGTACCGGTATCGAGACATCCCTACTGTTGACTTATTAACTTGCCTTTGCTGGATATTCATCTGAACAATACTGGGATCACTAGAAGTCCGTGAGGGTGGAGGCACTTGACACAAAACGTTTTCCTGACTTTGGAATGCCTGCGGTGATGGTTATCTTATGTTACCTACTTTTTTGTCTCTTAAATGGATTTTGTTCTATATGCGTTTGGATTTTATTACATTGCTTTTGTAGTTCTGTTTAACAACAAATGGGCTTGGTGCATCTAAATTTGCTGACCACTTTCATGACTGTTTAAATTTATGGCCTGATTTATTGTGCGCCACTGTCTGTACAATTTCATGTTTATGTGCCCTGCAGTTATGTTGCTTGATTCTCTGCACACAACCATTTAATAAAAACATTTTTTAAAACAAATCTAGAAACCGTATTTATATTTGTTGCTACAGAAATGCTGGTCTGTGGCTTCTAAACCCTTTTGAGCCTCACATAGTGACATTTTTCACCTTACCCCTGCTAACCCCTAGTATGCTTTTGTGAGATATGTTTATATGTTATGCATTTCTCCCTGGCCTCCCGTCCCAGTATTCCACTTTGTGGAGGGATGAAGTTATCAGAGGTGCAATGTGATTACCAAGGCCTTGGACAGCACAGACCAGCTGGTTATAAATTGCCACTTTTGGTAAAGGTTTAGTTACATTTTAGGGCTCAATCACACCATGTCTGTTGAGCTGGGTTGATCAATGCAGCTCATCACAAGAAAACATAGATAATTGTTTTCTCTGCATTCTGTTCGCACCACACAGGTGTGTTGCTGTGCATTGCATAAAAATGCAGCATGTATGCAGTTTTATGCAACCTACATCAACACAATGCGCCTATTCAAACACAAAAAAAGATGTTCGAATTTTGTGCCTTGATGTGGCCTGTACAGAAAACTACATGTCGGAGAGCATGGATTTTGTTTTGTGGTATGAACGAGCCTTATGCACTAACATTTTCACCTCCAATCATAGCCAAAAAGTGCTATACTACTACTTGCATTTGTTTGAAATGAATATTAATATTCATAATTACTATTAAAGTGCTATAATCCAGCAATAACAATGCTATTCACTCTAACTGTGATTTTGTCTGTTTTTCCTTATTAGAACTGGGATGATTATAGCCACCATGCATTTATACAGAACCATATATCTTACCTATTGGAGTTGCTTTTGGATCCAGATCAGCTTACTAAATCCTGCCATTCAAGTGAATACAGTCTGTTGTCCATTGGGGCAGCCCGAGCACTGGACTTTCTCATCGAGGGAACAATGGATAAGAATAGGACTGTCCATCCTTTTGTTGATTTAACTACATGGCATCCTTTACAGTTTAGAAGTGGTTATTCAAAAACGACTGAATCATTTTCACTGAGCAAGCTGCAAGCATGGGTAAAGGATAATTTTGTGGTGAATCCGTTTGGAATGTCCACCTGTGTGAAGTCTGGTAAAACGTTAGCTTGGGCAGAACAAAGTAAGTGTTTTTAATATTTGTTGTATCTCCGCATGTATAGGTTGTGAGTGATTTTTATTTCGTATCGATTTTCACTGATTGGGGATGTGCAATGTACATGCAAATGAACAAAAATTGCCATAAACTGATCATATGCAAAAAGGTGTACTAATGTCGGATATAAAGCAAGCAATCTGTTAGGGCTCGTTCACACTATATGCGGAACTCTGCTTTTCTCTGCACCTGAACAGCACAGGTCTGCAAGGACACACAGAAAACAATGGTTTTCTGCATTCCCAATTGACACACCAGAGCGGAGAGGTGGGGAAAAAAGCCTAGAGAGCTGCCAATTACAGCCAATGCCATCGCGTGCCAGTGCAGATGGAGCTGTGACCCAGCATTTCTTTTTACATTGGCAAAGAATTGGCATTGTGCATATACAGTATAGCACCAGTTACACTGACTTTTTCATGCTGTGTAGTAGATGGTATATACAGTGGATATAAAAGGTTTACACACTCGTAAACATTTTGAGATGTAAACAAATCAGACCGAGATAAATAATGTGGCTGCATAAGTGTACACTCTCTCTTAAGGTGCCCATACACCATACGATAATCGTGGGAAATCCCACGATCGTACGATTATCGTAAGGAATGTGGGAGCCGTGCGACCTTTGCTACTGTAAGGTCGCATGACTTTTATCTTACGAACATGCTACACACCCACCGAAAATCGTACGATTCTCGGCGAGTGTGTAGCATGTTCGTAAGATAAAAGCCGGACGGGCCGGTGTGCGCAAGCACACACTGCCCGTTCAGCATTGCGGTCATCGGAAGCCTGCCCCACAGCGGGGCGGGGTTTGCGATTATCGCAAGTACGATCTGCCTGTCCAAGATAGGCAGATCGTAAGTTTTTTTTAATTACCTTACAAACATCGCAAGACAAAAGTCTTGCGATGGTTGTAAGGTGTGTGCCCAGCCTTATAATTAGGGATGTGGCTGTGTTCAGAATCAACCAATCGCATCCAAACTGAGGATAAGGAAAATTGTTATGCCGAGTAATGAAAGGTACATTTGTAATGGAAGTAATAACAGCAGTGAAGAAGATATTGTCACCATTTTATAAAACATCACGTCTACTGCTCAGGAGCATATTCTATCCTGCACTGGCACCTATTCTATCCTTCACTGGCACCTACAATCACCTTTTCCTAAATGTACTTTCTAATTGTAAGCTGCACAATGTCTTAGTTTTTTGTAACTGGAGCAGCAGCTTGGAGCCGCTCTAACCTGGAATATTTATATTTCTTAATTATTTAGTAAAGGACACAGAATCTTTAGTCCTAACCCTGGGTTATATGCAGCTGCCTTCAGGTGATAGAAAACTGGCAAAAAAAAAGAGCTGCAGTGACAAACCCTGTTTAACCCCACCCTTTCCCAGCAAGCCTCTGTTCCTTTGGATTATGGACATCTTCTGTCAACTGAGAGAAGCTTACCTCCTTTCTATAATATTTTTTTTTTCTTCAAGTCTGCAGCTCCATTTTCGGCTTCTTTCCAGATTGGTTGACTCCTCGACTTAACCATGGCCGACCATTGCTGGACCACACCCAATGGCAGACATACCTGGCCTCTAATGTTGCTCTAGACAAAAAACCTAGCATGGCCGCAAACCCTGGCACATGGTGCATTGTATTGGGTTAACCCAAAGGTTGAGCAGATTGTGTAATTCAGAAGCCAGTCCAAACCAAGAGCCAGCAGAATTATTTTTTTCCCTTTTTAGGATCCAAGTTTTTTGACAACAACTAGAGAACCTCAAAATTCAGGTCCCAGCCGTAACTTTTAGGGAGTATTGACTACTTGGCTTCTAGGAGTTGTCCATCATTGGGTTAACCAGAGGGTGTTGGGTACTGGTCTTGGGCCGTTGTCCATCAGCCATTGGAGCCCTGTCCCTATTCCACCATCACTACGGCTCAGGTGGTGTACCCTTCCGGAGCATTAAACACAGCATTAGGCCTGTGAGTATCTCTTTGGGGGATGTTCTGCACCATGCATGGAAGATCATAGATGAAAGGGCAGTGGGCCAGGGGGTCTCGCCAGCTCACACTCGGCTAATGGGGCCGGGGGAGAGATGCTCGTGATGGTCTCTCTCTCCTGCAGGCCTCAGCTCTGACCACTGCAGTCTGATTTTTCTCCCTTCCGCTAAGGGCTCTATTGTTACCTCAGGTGCACACCCCTCCTTCTCCTTTATGGAGAGAGGCATTCTTAGCCACTATTTATAACTTTATAGGTAGGATCTCAGGCCTTTTTAGAGGCAGTAGATTGCAGGAGTTGAAATTGTGCCCCTTCATCCACTCCTCCAGAGTCAGTTTCTAACTTTCATCTCATGGCTGCTGCAGTGCTTGAGGAGGAGGTGGACAAGTATGAAGCGTCCTTTGTCTCTGAGAAATGTGATTAGGCGCTTTCTGATATCTCTTCGAAACCTAAGGATACCATTGCTTCCCCGGTTGATGTGGTGCACTCATAGCTGTTAGGGCAGTCCAACTCCGACTACTCTAAGGTCTCCAGCATGGGTTCACCAAAAATTACCAAACCTGCTAAGACCTTTCCAGTTCACTCGCTCTTAGAGCCATTTCTGTATGGTAACTGGCCACACCCTGAAGAGCTTTGTGTTCCTCCAAAGTGTTTTTCTTAGCAATACCATATCCAGGAGGATTTTCTTAAGAAATGGACAGTCACTGTGGTGGCTTGAGACATTTCTTCCTTTTAACAAGACTGGAGGTTCTGGTGTAAGATGTTCACGGTGTCAAGGATTCAGTGTATTGAGGTTGAAAGCCCTGTTTTAAGGCCTAGTTTTCTTTGGTTGCATCCAGGTTGGTCTTTCAGACCCTTGCTGTCTAGACTAAGCACATGGTGTGAGATATTTGCTCTGTTCTGAATGATCCATCTGTTTTCTAGAACTCCCATGCAAGAAGCATCTTCAGAGAATGACCTTTAGCAGAATGCCTTTTTAGTCTTAGTCCGCTAAGACTGCCAGGTCTAGAACCAAGCCCTTCTTTCAGTGAGGAGTTGCCCTCCACTTGCAAAAGTTGGGGGAAGCCTGTCAACCTTTGCAATCATCTGGTCCTGGGAAATTCCAAACCTTTGGGTGCAGAGCGTCATGTCCATTGGGTACAAACGACTTTGCCTCTGACCCCAATTCATGCACTCACCTACCCTCTTCCCTTAAAGTGGGCAGACCTCTATGCAACTCTCCAACAGCTACTCTCTCAAGGAGTAACAGCCCCCATTTCGCCGGAGGCAGGATTTCAAGGTTTCTACTCAAACCTATTTACAGTTCCCAAGGGCACAAGGAGCATTTGATATAAAGCATCTTAATCGGTTCCCTCGTGTCCAGAAATTCCGTATGGAATTAATCAAGTCAGTCATTGCCTTCCATCAGCAAGGGGAGCTCTTAAGTCTTTGAGTATCTAAGATGCACTCTTGCACCTTCCCATTTTTCTCACCCCATCAGCACGTTCTGTGCTTTGCTGTGGATACACAATATTGTCACTTTGCTTCTCTTCCTTTTTAGCCTGTCCATGGTGTCTCAGGTCTTCACCAAGGTGCTTGCCCCAGTCCTGGCTCTGCTTTGCTCTCAAGGAATCCACACCATATCTAGACGGTCTCCTCCTCAGGATCAATAGGCCCATGTTCTGTCTGTCAGCCATTGTACAGTCGATGGTGCAGACTGCAGAGATTTGTTGGGAGTCTCAGTCTTCGGAAATCCACCCTGAATCCGACTTGCCGATTGGGCTACCTGAGCCGTGGCTGCAGGGTCACCCAACCAGGATTTAGTAATACAATGCCACGGCTGAGGCCTACATAAACCACCAGGGGGTCACCAGAACCAACACAACTCACAGAGAAGCTGATCTCATCTTGGCCTGGGCAGAACTTTAGGTTCCTCAACTGCAGGTTACCTCTGTTCCAGCAAACTGATTCCTTAGTTGTTGTTCCTGAGTCTTCTTCCTGGGGCTCCCTGCTTTTTGCTCCACTATTGCTAGGTTAGTGATTTGTGGGCTTTTCAGCATTAGGTATCTGTTTCCCAAATTTGCAAGCAGCTACCTGGTCTTCTATTCACACATGTGTTAATTTTCACCAGGTGAATGTTTATGCATCTTCTAATGCCAGTTTGGGGCTTTAGTTTCTTCAAACTGCCCTCTAAGTCCTTCTGAGGTTTTTTTTCTTACTGTTTGTTGTGGGCCTGTTAGCGTTTGCTGTATTACCCACCCCTCAGTTAGTGTTTGGGGATGAGAGTAAAGGGTTAAGACTAAAGAACTTGTGTCCTGTACAATTAGGAAAATAGGATTTTCCCTTACCTGTAAAATCCCCTTCCTGGAGTACAGCACATGGCATGGGTCCCTCACCTCTGTTTGATCTCACTATCGCTTGCTACCAAACTGAGGCTTGTTGGGAGAGTCAAGGTTTATATGGGGGTTTGCCAATTTCCAGTAACCTGAAGGTAGCTGTATATAACCCAGGGTTAAGACTAAAGATCATGTGTTGTATACTGTACTTCCAGAAAAGTATTTTACAGGCAAGTCAAAAATCCTATTCACACTGGTTTGTAATGAAGCCTATTTAACCCAACTCTTTTTCCTTTTGTTTTAGTTGATGGTTCGAGTAGAAGGGCAAAGATTGCTTGCAACATTTACAAAGTGCCACCTGGTAATCATATGGTTGTCATGAGTCACATATGCAGACAAACATTGGCAAAAAGTTCAGAAACGCTGGTCAATGCACGTGTAAAAATAATGAACTGCAATGAGTCTTATATATATCTATTATCTCCTTTAAGGTGAGATTTTTGTATATGGATTAAAATCTTTTAGTTTAAAGTATTTTTGTACATACACTGCAATACAAATATTTAACCCTTACTGTTTTAATACAGTGTTAATACCATTACCAAGCTGTCTTCCTTGGTAATAGAATATTTTATAATAAGGCATTTGCTGTGCTCATTACAAGAACATCGGTCTTCCTTTTTTTCTTTTTTAATCTTCACTTTAGTCTTATTTTCCTAGCGGTGTTGCAGCTGAACATCTTATATTTGGAGAAACTGGGGCACATCGGAATACTTAAGCAATGATATTTGCAGTTCCCTGGCCATTTCTGTACGTCAAGCCTTTCAGTTAGGCTACACTGGTGACTAAAGTGGAGTCTGTAAATGTTTACCTCCACTCCAGTGATGTGATGTGATATGATGTCTGCGAGCTTCTAAGCAGGAGCCGCCATCTTCGCCCATTTTTATTTTGGGGTACAGGATCATCCAATCTGACTGGGTTGGGATGACATAATGCAGGCGCATGTACACAGACAGACGTTCAGCCATCCAGACTCCTGGCTGATGCTGGGATTTTACACTGAGCTGTGAATGCTAAATATTCTTATGAACAGAACAGCAAGGTGCATTTCTTGCAGAAGAGACATAGTACGAGTGCTTACTCTACTGTTTAAGCATTGGTTGCTGCCTGAGCCTCATGCAGCTTTCTTTTCTAAGGGTTCCAGGAAATCCAAAGCTTGTTACCATTGTAGGTTATTGAAGTCTGTTTTAATGGCTCCTGTGGCTCCCCATCTTCTGAGAGGCTTACTTAAAAAAAACAACCTACCGCTGCATGTAAGAATATTACTCGCAGGCTACTCTGGCTGGCCAGAATAGCAAGTCAACTATGCCCCTGGAAAATGCTGATCAACCATCCCAGTCTCCCTTTGACAGTGAACGTTCAGTTGAGCCTAAATAGTCCTTTAACTTGGTGCTAGTAGTGATTTGCATTCAAACTTTAAAAGGGAATACATAGGGAAGTAGATCCGACATCTTTTAAAAGCTCAGAAAAATGTGGGAAACCTTTTTAGTCAGAGTTGTTGTAAATGGCATGTACCATCATCCTGGGATATCAACAAAGCCCTTTAGAAACTGAAATACAGTTTCATTGACAAATTATTCAGCATCAGAATATGTGTAATTTGTGGCACTAATTACAAAGGGATGAAATGGCTCTATCTATTAACTGTTTATTGCTTTGGATTGTATTTGAGCTCTGATACTGCTTGGCATAAGTCCTAGAACAAAAGGGCTAACAACTGTTTAATCTTTAAGATTGGTAGTTTAGGGGAATCGGACCTGCCAAGGAAGGTCTAGTATTTCAAGGTTGCATTGCAATTTGCTGGGTTTTTTTTTTCTAGTTACTCAGATAATGGAGTCATGTTTATAGAAATATAACTGCAATGTATGTATAGTTTTAGTGACATTTATGAAGATTAATTTGTGCATGAATTTTTAGAAACTATAAAATATTGTATTATAGTTTAAAATAATTGAATTTTATTTTTTTTGTCTAGGAGTGTAACCATTGAAAAATGTCGGAATAGCACATTTGTCCTTGGGCCAGTGCAAACAGTTGTTCATGTTCAGATGTGTGACCATGTGAAAGTTATAAGTGTATGTCAGCGCTTGTCACTGTCTTCTACAACAAGCTGCACTTTTCATATACTTACTCCTACAAGGCCTGTGTTATTTAATGGAAATCAGGGTGTTATTTTTGCTCCATATCATACTTACTATGGAATGCTAGAAGATCACATGGGACAAACTGGTTTAGCCACTTTACCTAATTACTGGGACAGGCCACAGTTTTTTTCTGCAGAAAGTGACTCCCAGGTCTGGAAACTCATGTCCCCTCGAGAATTTTATACATTTGCTGTGCCTTTTGAAATGGAAGGTGATACAACTGAAATTCCTGGAGGCTTACCCCCAGCATTTCTTAAGACAATGGAGCAAAGGCAGCAAAAGGTACAAATGTGGCACAAAACTGTTAAGGATGCAAAATTAAACGGGTAAGCCTTTATTTATTTTCACTTTTTTTGTTTTGTACATTTTGACCTTTTTTATTTAGTAAACCAGTTTATCACCTGCTGTATATATGTTTTTCTTTCTCTTTTTATATGTCCCATTAATCTAAGAGCCATGTACACTTTGTGTTAACTTAACCCCTTCATGACTGAGGCCTTTTTTAATTTTTTGCACCCGTTATATTCCACATTTTAGGCCTGAAAATTACTTAAAACCCCCACACATTTATATATTTTCTGAATGCCAAGACCCTATACAATATAATGGTGGTGGTTCCAAATTTTTATATTGCGCAATATTGGCGCAACTCCTTATTAAACCCCAAAATTTAGTGATAAATTTAATTAAATGCCCCAAAACACAACAAAATACCAATTTTTTAAATTAAATATAAAAGATGAGGTTACAACGAGTAGAACGATACCCAACATGCCCAGTTTACAAATTGCGTGCGTCCGTGAAACGGCGAAAAACTGCAGTACCCCAAAAAGTCCACAGAAGACGCTTTAAAAGCCCCCACAGGTCATCAATTTAGAGATACCCCAAAGTACTGGCCTAGAATACCCAACATGTGTAGCGCGTTCGTCGTTTTCATACGTAGGCGCACCCAACGCGTTTTTATGTGGCGACGCGGGAGTGGGGGGACTTTTAAACATTTTTGGCGGCAAAAGTCACCGGGAGTCTGTTTAAACAGCCCCGATGCTGGCGACTTACACTGTACATTGTCAGTTACGAAGGGGTTAATGTTTCTATTTAGAATGATGCTTTAGGTTTTATACACTGATGGATACAATGGATACAAAGAGCACCTGTATCCTCTTGCTGTCTGTCTACCACACCAATAACCATTTAGTTGAAGCTGAAAATATGTATTCTTGCTTTTAATCCTTTATATGAAACATGGAAGAATATAATAAAGACCAGTATAGATACATTTAGAGTTAAAATGCTGTAATAAAATCCAACAGTCCCCCATGTAGTTTCTGAGACGTTAATTTGACTTTCTCTAAAAAAACTAAAAAAACAGTTGTCCTTTTTAACCCATACAACACTTGCCTCAGGCCCCTGTAAACAGATAGCTTCTGGGACTCTATACTGACATCGATCCTGGCAGCTGAGCTGCCACCAGATCGTTTCCGGGGGGCTGGTAAATGGGTCCTCCGCCCGCCTTGTTTACCAGGCTCCGCTGCCCTTCCTGTGGGCCTGGGACCAGTATCACAGGCGTTGGTGGGAGAGACCAGCACATCTGTTTGCCGATCTCCTCTCCGCTGAATGGAGCCGGAATCAATTTGCATCACTTCCATCTCCTCCGTCGTCATTCCCCAGCTAGGGAAGCTGACACGAATGAGACCCCTAATGTCACCTTAAGGAGAACCTGTCACCAGTAATATGCTATAACATAGGGGGCTTGTGATCCTACTATGTGATGGCAATGTAGTTATGTAAAATTTTAAAAAATGTTAAAAATCCCCCATTTCCCCGCGAATGCGCACATACTAACATAAACACGCATCAGGAGTGCGTACGTACAAAAAAGACAATTACGCTACACGTAAGGTATCGTCACGTGCCGGACTGGGAGCAATAATGCTAGGGCCAATTAGGGCTTTTAAAGCGTCGCCTATGGACAATGTAGAGTACTGTATTTTGTCATGCAATTTTTAAGCTTGCCATGTTGCGTATTTGTTTACAGAATTTTGCGGTTTTATAAAGCGTTGCGCTAATATCATGCAACGTAAAAGTTTGCAACTGCCACCATTTTATTCTACAGCGTCTGTGCTTTCCGGAAATGTATAACTCGGGGGGTTTTAGGTAGGGATACAACAATACCATTTTTTTTCAAGGCCAAGTTTCAGCAATGGAGAATGCCAACCAGCAATAAAGGACTACAGATCCCGTCAACCCATGATTATACAGCAATCATGGGTTGCTAAGATTTGTAGTCCTCACTATTGCCGGTTGCCATTCTCTATTGCATTTGATTAGCACTGTAACGCACACCAACAAGAGAAGTTCAATAGGCAGCTGCAGTATAAAAGTTTACATACCTGCTCTCGGGAGGGTATGGCAGGCTCCAGAATGGCTGGAAGGGTCACTCAGAAGTGCGGTGGTGTCACCAGGGCTGTACTGCCGGGCTCTCCAGGGCTGCGATCGCGGTTCCCCATGGCTGTACTGGCGGGTGATGGGCGTCGGGCTCTCCAGCGCTGTACTGCAGGTGTGGGGCTGTCCTTTTTATGAGTAGAAGTGCTTTTGAAAATGCCTTGTATCGGCACTGATACTAGTATCGGTGCATCCCTAGTTTTAAGTAATTTTTAGGCCTAAAATGCTTGCAAAAAAACTGCTTGGCAGCGAAAGGGTTAAAGTACAAGAAACATAATCTTCGAAACAGCCTTTCTCAACTAAGGTTCCTCCACACATTGCTGGGGGTTCCCTAAACCAGTGGTGGATTGTTTTCCTGCCAAACCACTAGTGTAAAGGGTGCCAAAGTTTTTAATGCCTGCATTACTGATTATTCATATTAATTAGGGATGCACCAATACCAGTATTGGTATGGGGGCCGATACTGAGTATTTGGGAGAGTACTCATACTCGCCCAAACGCTCCGATACTTACTCCGATACCAGATCTCCCTCTGACTGCAAGTGCCGAGGGAGCATGGAGCCGGCTTCCTTTCCAATCAGGAAGCCAGGCGGTGGGTTACGACCTGCCTCCTGATTGGCCAGGAAGCCAGGCCGCCTAGGAACAAGTGAAGCCAGCTTCAAAGCCAATCAGGAAGCATGTCATGACGTGCTGCCTGGCCTCCTCATTGGTTAGGAAGCCAGCTTTACTTGTTGGTAAGCAGCCTGGCTACCTAACCAATCGGGAAGCTGGGCAGCACGTCATGACTCGCGTCCTGGCTTTCTGATTGGCTAGGTAGCGTGGCTTCCTGACCAATCAGGAACCCGGGACGCGAGTCATGATGTGCCGTCTGGCTTCCTGATTGGTCAGGAAGCTGACTTTACCTGTTAGGCAGCCTTGGCATGTGAAGCTAGTGTTCTTTCGCTAGAACACCAGCTTCACAGGCAATCAGGAAGCCGGGCGACGGGTCATGATCCACTGCCCAACTTCCTGATAATCTGGCCACCGTTACTCGGTATCGGCGAGTACAGAAAAAAGTATCTGCATCCCTAAATAATATTGCTATTAAACTTAAAGTTTTTGAAAAATGATTTGCTTTGGGTGTCATGTTTACTAAATAATCCGCTTTTAGTTTTTTAATATTTGTTCTAATCACAACTTGCTGAGCATTATATTCTTAGTAGTAGGGCTGCAACAACTAATCGACATAATCGATTATAATCGATTATTGAAAAAGTTGTCAACTATTTCAATAATCGATTAATCGGCTTCTGATCAGTTGGCCCTGTTCACGGCTCCACACACGCTGCGCGCCGCACCTCCTCCCCAACTCACGCTCACCGCTGCCAGACCCGCCCTCATCCACGTTCTACACGCCGCACCTCCTTCCCGCCTCACACTCCTCGATCGGCATAGGGACGCGGGGAGATGTAGTAAGGAGGAGCAGGTGTGGGGTGATGACAGCCGCCGATAGACAGGCCCAATCTCAGAAGCAAGTTGCTGGAAGACTGCTCAGGTAAGCCTGCACACTCCCACACATGGTGCTCTATAATGTATTGCTGGGATTTGTATTCCTCTATAGCTGATGGTACGTTGTGCTGTATATGTTCCATCAGCTATAGAGGAATACAAATCCCAGCAATACATTATACACTGTATGTATAATGTACTATTGCTGGGATTTGTTGTACTCCTTTATAGTTGGTGATATTCTGCACTGCGCTGTATAGAGGACTACAAATCCCAGTAATAATACATTATACAGTGGTGCACTGCCGAATACCACTGGCTATAGAGGACTACAAAACCTAGCAAACGTACATTATACAGCGCAATGCAGAATACCACCAGCTATAATGTACTATTGCTGGGATTTATTGTGCTCCTCTATAGCTGGTGATATTCTGCATTGCGCTGTACAATGTAGTATTGCTGGGTTTTGTAGTCCTCTATAGCCGGTGCCATTCTGCATTCATTGCTGTATAATTTTACACTTTCCATTTCACTATATTGCACACCACACTTTTTTCTTTTCTTTTTTACTTCCACCGCTCCAAGCTTACTCCTGTGATGGAGTGCAATCTCAATACAAACTAGTAGTCCATCACTGGAGCCATTTTTTAACATTTATTTTATTGTTTATCCGATTAACCGATTAATCGAACTTAATAATCGGCTAACTAATCGATTTTGAAAATAATCGTTAGCTGCAGCTCTACTTAGTAGCGGTTCCCTGATACTGGAAAATTATTTCATGGGTTCCTTCAGAGTAAAAAGGCTGCAAGACTACATCAGAACATGGAAACATAGACGCTGCTTTTACTGATACTTTGACATTTTTTCCTTTCTTTGCACTTTACAGGGAACAGAAGAAAAGGTTTCAAGCACTTGTTGAATACCAATTCAGTGAATGGCTGGTTAAAACTGGAAACAGACATGAGCTGGATAGGCTTGTGCCAGCAAATACTATTACAAAGCAAGCTGCTGATTGAAGTACATGTACATTTTTAGCTAGTGAACAGGTATTGTGTAACGGGATTCCTCCTATGTACGCATGTATTTTTCACATGTCCAGAGAAGCTTATTCATTTATAATGCCTACTAAACATGTATTGCCGTTCCTAATGAAAGCTCTCTCTAGTATATCTGTTGTGTGTATGTATACAAAATCCCTAATCCCCAGTACTTTTTTAATGGAAGTAAACTTTTTGAGAAAATTGGTGACGCTGACTAGCTTACAAACCTTGAGTCACCATGCAGATCAAGACTTTTAACATTTCCATGGCTTTCCATGTCTGTGTACCTCTTACTCGGGCAGTATTATTGACAGTAATTCATCCTAGCAAGCAACTGAAACTGTTTACTGTGCAATTTATGGAGATATTTTGCCTCTTAAACTATTACCACTCTAGTTATGTTCTCAATCCTGTGAAAGAAGCATGAAATTGATGTTTTGCGTCAACATTCTTTAGTGTGTTTGCTTATAAATATTAAGAGGCATTTCTATTTTGTGAATTAGAAACGGAGCCACACATTTTGAAGCAAACTACTGAATTGGCTAGAACTTGCTCCTATGGAAGACTGCAACATTTTCACCACTGTTCTGAAGAGCGTTTTCTCTATATAGAGGTTGAACCACTTTTCCTCCAGACACAAAAGAGTTGCCTCTTGATGGAAAGTTAATTTTAATGTAGTCTCAAGTTTGCCATATGAGTAATTTATGTATTTATACAATGTGATCACACTCACCCCTGATTGCCTCTTCTCATAGGTGAATAGATGGAGTTCATCTAATCTTTCCTCATAACTGATGTCCTCTATGCCCCTTATCAATTTAGCTGCCCCTCTCTGCACTCCAGTTAATGAATCTGTGCTCAAAACTGACCTGCTTATTCAGATTGGCATTGTGTGCAGATATTCTGTAATCTATTGCGACACGCAGATATTTCTCCTTCACTCATTTACCTGGTTTTATTCCTCCTAGATTGTATGTTGAAACTTTTTTTTTTTTTAACCCTCCAAGTGCATAACTTTACAGTTGTAAACCTTTTAAACTTCAGTTGCCATGTAGTTGCTTCATTAAATAGTGCATGCAGCTCCATTGGAAGTTGGGAGTCCTCTTGTAATTACTTTAATTCACAACAAAGCTTTTATATTATTCTGCAAATGCAGAATCTGTTCCTTCAATCCTGGTTTTTATTGAGGTGCTCTGCCAATTTGGGGACAGAATTTTCTAAGGTTATAGATAGGGATGCACCAATACCAATACAAGCATCGGTATCGGCGGCGATACCTAGTATTTGCATGAGTACTCGTACAAATACTCTGATACATAAAACAAGTACCTGTGCCGCGTCCGCCATCTTCAGGGACCCGAATCCGCCGCACACAGGACCTCCATCGCGTCTTCAATGAAGCAAGATGGCCGCAACCTCCTCTGTCATCTGCTCCATTCTGACCTCTTCTCCCGCTGATTGGCCGATTGGATGATTGACAGGCTTCCTCACTAGATGAGCACATGTCCAGACTGCAGACCAGAACAGGCACAGCAATATCCAATTCTGCATACCTGGCTTTATTATCGGTGAGTACTTGAAAAAAAGTATCGGTACTCGTACTCGGCCTTAATGTGGTATCGGTGCATCCCTAGTTATAGACCTTGAAGGAAACCTGTACAGAGAAATGGAGATGGCCATTGCTGACCACCCCCTAAGAATACCAGTTGCCTGTGGCTGTCGCTGGCTGTGTTTCTTTCTCAGTTTCTGTCCAATACCAGGCATGCAGATTAGAAAATTCAGAAGGAGATAGAACAATAGCACAATTCCTGTTCATAGACTTCCTTAATGTCTGTTGAGAAAACACTTTGGCCCAAATATACTACATGCACAGCCATGGTCACTTTTATAAAGGAGAGTGAGATTTGTATTTTACATTTGACCAGTTGGGGAGATTTCCCTTTCTTTGGAGACTCAACAGGAAGTAAGTGGAAATCTCTCTTTGACTGTTGTCAGTGGAACAAGTCTTCCAACTGGAAGATTTCTCCTCTATTCCTGTACTGATGGTGTCTCAGAATTTTGGATTTTCCCTCTCGTTTAGTGATCACAGGACAAATTGAGAGGGTGCATCTCCCCAGTGGTGACGGAGATGGCACTGTACAGATCTTCTAGCCCCTCCTATATTTAAAGAAAAAACCGTCATTGGATACACTTTAACCAAGTCCTATATTATGCAGCACCAGAAATTAAGTAGTTCACACTGATTCAAAGCTGCACGGCTTAACAGTAAAGGCACAACCTAGAAATGAGTGTCTAATGCAAACTGTTGGCGCTATATAAATCCTGATATATAAAATACCGTATTTGCCGGCGTATAAGACGACTCGGCGTATAAGACAACCTCCTACTTTTTGTGTTAAAATATAGGTTTTGGGCTATACTCCTCGTATAAGACGAGTATAGCCCAAAATAATGTTTAAATGCACCCACTAACCTCCATGGCGGTATTCCCGAGTATTAATGAATACAAAGCCTGCCGTGATTGGCTCAGTGCGGTATACTGTATGTAGCCTAAGCTACATACAGTATACCCGGCGTATAAGACAACCCCTGATTTTCAGGCAGTGTTTTGGGGTCTAAAAACCCGTCTTATACGCCGGCATATACGGTAATGTTTCTATACCTTGATCTTACAGGGCAATTCCTGCCTCGAGTGTGGCTCACGCATATGACTTTTTCTTTTCTTTTTTTTTTTTTTAGGTCTTTGTCATGACCTTCAAATCTTCACATTTCAACCTGAAACGTCTGAGAAATGGAGCACCAGATCTTCAGTTTAATTTCTTAATTGTGATTTGAGGTTCCTATTTTTTTACTTTTACTTTTTCAGTAGAAAAAAAAAAGTTCTGTAAAGTTAGAAGCACTTTTTGGCAATGCATAATATATATATATATATTTAATTATTAAAAAGTTTTATTATTGTTATTGCTATGTGTTTGTTTTATTTTTTTGCCACCCAAAAAAACACTTGGCGATACACTTGGGTTTTCAGTTTTAAATTTATGCATGTATGTGTTGAAAGAAAAAACAACATTTTTGTTGCTGCCAACAACATGAACAGTGAAATATAACCGCATCTACATTGGTTAACTTGTCGATTCTTAAACTGTACATTTGACATGATGCCATTGACGCAAGCCCAAAGCTCATAGACATAGGCCCTTACTTTGTTTCACAATGGTACAATGCAGATCAGCATTGCTCTTGGGTGGGTAATTTGGCAGCCCATTCAGAATGAACCTGCTTAGATGCCAACCACTGCCAATTCCAGAAAAGTATAGACATCTGAACATGTCATACATGTCCAAAAAGCAACCTAGGTAAAGGGAATCTGCCATTTTTCCAATGCAGGGGAACACATTGCTTAGAATACTCTTTCCGTTTCTCCACCCACTGCTAAGCTTTACATGCGTACAAGTGTACAGGTTTAATGCAGCCTTTTAGATGTTGCCAGCTGACATGTGAAGATCAGCAGTTTGTAAATGTTTACATTTCAGCCCAGTCATCACTCATTCATGTGCCAGTAGAACGGCTGTAGACCGAGGTCATTTTGCGCATGCTCCTCCGGTGGGTGAATGAGTCATTCAGAGCCTTCATATAAACTTAAATAGTGTGTAATTGAGTTGGATGAGTGCTCTGTAACATATCTAAGTACAATGCTTCCATGTTGTGTGGTCACTGAAGAAATGTGATGTCATTTCTGATATCCTTGGGATTTCCTGTGAGCGGCAGTGGCCATGTATGAGCAGGTCAGAAGTGATCCATCTTTGCAGCATTGTGATCATTGCCATAGTGATTTATTACTTAAGAAGATTATACAGCACAGCACTTTTGTAGCCCATTGGTGTTGTGGCACACTGCACAGAAGTTTACATGCCCTTTTTTTTTTTTTGCCATGCACCTTAACTCGTGGTAAAAAGAAAATGTGATTAGTGGTTCTCAACCTGTGTAACCTCAGGACCCACATTTGTCCTTGGTCATTAAGTCGTGACGCAAGTTGCACTGCATTGCGGTACCACGCATTCCGATGCGGGCGATAGAACTGTGGGTGTGTCAGGGCTCCACCCTGACTTAACTGGCTTGGCTGCCATTCCACCCACCTGTGATTCCTCCTTTGTCTGACCATACTGTGTAATGTTGCTCGCTACTCCTGGCTCTCTCAGTTGATACTCTCCTGTTTGGCCATAAAAGGGAGCCTGAGAGTAGTGAGTGGTGAGCAATGTTACACAGTTAAGTCAGGGTGGGAGATGCGTTTGGGGTGTCATTTAACTGAATGGCAATTCACTGCACCTCCCACACCAGAACGTACGATAGGTGTGATTGCGTGGGACTGTGCAATTAACGCACTGTACTAGTGTGAATGGGTCCCCAAAAACACTGACAGACGCACAGACACAATCACACACTCCAAGAAAAAAATATAATTTTTTTTTTTATATCCACCCAGTCTCCCTGCCTTTCGAGAACTGGAGTGGATCCTCAACCTGTGTTGTGACAGAGCTGCATTCACTTGTACAGCTCCCTTGTGCGTCCTGTAGAGGTGGCAGGAGCCAGAATGTGACATCAGTCCGGTCCAGGCACTTCTACAGGACACATGAGGGAGCTGTAAGCAATCCACATATGGATGGAGCTCCCTCGCGGCCCTAGCCCAGCCCACCTCAAGCTGACACTCTGCATCGGGCAACATATTTTGAATGGCTGATCGGCACAAGAACTGACAGTGCTGCGCTAGGGGGAGGCATGTGGTGACCCACTGAACACGTGATCACAACCCACCAGTTGAGAACCAAGTATATAACACATACCATTTCCCATGAGCTCAAACCCTACTGCTTGTTAATTGTTACAGTACAATTTACACAAAGTTTGTTTCATTTGTGAATAACTTTGCAATGCTTTGTCCTAGAGTCATAGTGGCCATTCTAAAATGTATATTTTTTTTAAATCTACGGTAACCCATTTGTTTTAAAATCCTGATTAACCCCTTAGTGACACAGCTTCAGAAAATGTTCCTGGGGAGTGGAGCTATTTTGCGATGTGTTTAACAAAAACGCTATATAATATGTGTAGGTGCAATGAATGGGCAAGATGGAAATTATGGTTAAAGGACAAAATGGGCTTTAATATGATGCGACATATACAATCTTATTTTTAAGGGGGGGGGGGGTGGGCTAAAACTAACCTGAAAAAAAATGGGCTGAAAAAATCGGCTTATACTCGAGTATATATGGTAATGTTTTTGCTCAGTTTTTTTGCATTTGTTTTAAAAAAGGCAACTAAATGAAAAAAAGGTTAAACATTAATGATTATATTACAAAACTCAACAGAAAAAAGTAGCGTGTCAGACTGCAGTGCCATCTATTACTAGTGTAATTATCACAATTGTACGGTTTAGAATAATGAATTAAATACAATTGTGTGTGTGTGAGAATTGTAAAACCATTGACTAAATACAAGCTTTATGTTCTTTTAAAGATGTGAACATTTTTAGATATGCACATATGTTATTGCCAAGTTAATTTTCATACTGTTGTTGCTAAATTTGTCCTGGGCGTCTAGGCATAAATGATCTCTGGCACTAAAGTATTAGTGATAATAAAATCAAAAGGTTTCAAAGTTTTTTTTTTTCCCAAATGCTGAATAACTCACTTGCAATGAATACTGCTCCTTGATGGTTTATTTTAGGAAGTTATAGTTGCCTGCAGAATCACCTGGTTCCCTGAGATTCTGTTTTAGGGTGGCTTTTTTTCCTTGCAGGGTCCTATAGAGCCACCCTTGTGTGTGCTGGTAAGTTGTCTCTCCATAAACACAGCAATGCAAGCCACTCCCCTTTTCCAAGCTAGTGGGCCTGTCCCTTGTTATCATGTACTTGACAGGAAGGTTCAGAGGAGGGAGCTGAAACCAGCTGTTCAGAAACATGATGACTAAGTGCTTGGCCAAAAATGTAAACAAATAGTTTGCTGGGCAGTGATTATTTGCTCTATATTCATTATTGAAAAACATTTTAATACTACTTTTCTTCCATCTGATTAGTTCCTTGTCATGTTCTTCTGCCTGTTTGCTTTTCTATGTGCTTTCCAGTCTGTCACTTCCTTGTTAGCTGCTTTATATCTAATTTTTGCTTTGCCCTCTTGGTTTCCCTATGGCTATTGTATGCCCTAGTTGGTGTCCACCAGCGGTTGGCGCTGAGGCTTGACATGTCTGTCCTTGTGTGTTTCTAATGGGAAGTTCTGGGCTCATCTAAATACCACTGACTGCATAACCTTGTTATCCATTGGAGGAGCTCTACATACTTGATCCAGACCCATGTATCAGCTTTACTCATTTCCACTGAAGACCAATAACTATTTTCCAATCCTCTGTGGTAACTGCACAGCTAAATTTTACTTATGTTTGTTTATACACTGCAATGTGTACTTAGCTGCAGTTAGATTACGCTTGTTTGTGCTTTGTAATCGTTCTTCTGAAGGATAATTTTGCTAATCATCTGCCTCCATTTTGACCATCAAGCAGAATGCAGGATAATAATTTTCAGTCAGAGGAGTAATGTCTCCAACCTTGCTAGGCACTGAGCAATTTGGACCTTTCCCAAATTCAGATACTGCTTCCCTCAAGCCAAACAGCTGGCTCGGTGCTGATTGGCTGGGCAACTGGCTTCCTGGCCAATTAGCATAGAGCCGGCAAAACAGCATGGAGCCGCCCGTCTCCCTGATTGCCCGGGAAGCTGGCTCCATGGTAGCAGAAGTACCGGTACTCATACTCCATACCGAAAAACCGGTAACGCTGCATCCCTACACAAAGGTGACTCTGGCACTGGCAATTCCATGGAGACTGGTAAACAGGCTACTGACAATACCAACACTGGCAAGTTGTGGCCAGTGTTAGAATCACCCATGTCACATGACACTTAGCATAGGTTCTAGTGCTGCTGCTGCATGATTATGCATTTGTGTAGCACATTTATGATGCAGTTTTATGCTTAATGCGTTTTAAGTTTGACCAAAGGCAAGCAATATCTCCTGTGAAATTAAAAGGTGAACAGGGCCTCAGGACTACTTCACACAGGCTTCTGGTTATAAAAGAGCAGCATGAACACCATGTTTTCAACACTCTTTTACAAAGCAACTTGCAAAACTTTCTGTAAGCTTCGAGCAGGTTTGTTAAAGCCTCAAAAGCCTTGGTTCTCAACTGGTGGGTCGTGTTCAGTGGGTCGCTGCATGCCTTCCACTTTTCTAGGTGAGCGGCTCCTCTGCCTCCACCTAGCGTAGTACTGTCAGTTCTCCCGCCAAGCAGCCATTCAGAATATGCTGCCCAGCATCGAGTGTCAGCTTGAGGTGGGATAGGATGGGGCTATGGCCGCCATACGTGCATTGCTTACAGCTCCCTCATTTGTCCTGTAGAGGTGCCTGGACCAGAGTAACGCACTGTACCACGCGATCACACTTGCGTTCTGGTGTGGGAGGTATGTTGCATTGCTATTCGTTTGAATGGTACCCCAAAACACAACTCCCACCCACAGTTCGATCGCCCGTTACCTCAATGCCGTGCGGTCCATTGCAGTGCGATTTGGGTCGCAACTTAATGGCCTAGGACAAATGTGGGTCCTGAGGTTACACAGGTTGAGAACCACTGATCTAAAGCACCCTTTAGCTCCAGTTTGGGAATGTTAAAGTGACATTAAACCCTCAGATTTTATAACATAAAACAATACTGTAATGTGTGCCTTACTGTATTCCATGGTTGTTTCCCTTCTCTTTGCTGCTCTTCCTTTTAAATCTATCTCTTCTCATGCTGGGCAGAACTTCTGTTTTGCAGCAGACTGCCTTGTCTCTGAAATGGATACATGGTGTCTGTGTGAAGGTTCACAACCTGAGCCAGCACTACAGGAAGAGGCACTCAGCTGCAAAGGGAAGTTCTCCCCAAGCATGAGAAGAGATATGGATTTAAAAGGAAAAGCAGCAAAGAGAAGGGAAACAACCATGGATTACAGTAAGGCACACATTACAGTATTGTTTTATGTTAAAAAATCTGAGGGTTTAATGTCACTTTAAACACAGATATTAATGGGAGTACTGATTGCCACTTTAAACAAGCTCCTAGCAGGCTTTTAAGAAGCTTCAAGTTGCACTGAATCTTACTAAAGCCTGCTAGCAGCATGTTTAAGGTGACAGCACTTCCATTAAGATCTCAAACTGGAGCTGAATAATACATTAAAAGCTTTAACAAAGCTGGTCAAAAGCCCTTCAAATGCACTGTAAAAGCTTGCTATTCACATTACTCTTATACAAGCTGAAGCCTGTGTGACCTAGATCCTAGTCTGTTTAAAGAAGCAGAGTTACGTGAGCAATGGTGCATAAAAGTCAATGAAAGACTTTATCCAGTAACATATATGCTTTAGGTTTGAAGGGAGTACAGTCATTCAAAACACTGTAGATGAGCATTTGTAGACTTATTAGCTCAATGCAAAAAATAAAAAAATGCTTTATGGGCATAAAACACCTGGGTTTTGTATAGCTAAACAAAACCTTCCATGCATGTACGTTTGAAAAACCAGTGAGAATATTCTAGAAATGCACTCAATGCATTATATAGTGGATCAGTAATGCATCAGATATTTGGGGCACCAGTTGTAAAGCAAAAGGTATGGCTATACCACAGCCAATACCGCACATTTATAAAGTGATGTGCTGTATGCTCCACTTATTGTGAGGCTTCAAAGCAAGAGGAATGGAAAAATACTGGAGAGATTAGAGCACAGTAACTTGCTGTCAGTCATGTGACTGTCCTCTATGCAGATTTAAACAGTGGCCATGGTACACCTCCAGCATCCACAGTTCAGAATGGTATGCAACAAGCAGGCCCAGTGAGGTGTAAAGACTGTTCTGTCCAATGTACAGTGGTATCCACACTCTGCTATGAATAGGCTCCCAAGTACTGTAGAATATAAAACCAGTGACCGACTTTAAGCGTATATTATTTTTTAAGTAGCAGGGCTTTAGCGCGTTCGATCTTCTCTAATGCAGAAGAATCAGTAGTTGGATTGCATTTTGCCAGGACCATGTTCATTTCATTTTCATTTTTATGTTCAATGGCAGCTTCGGCAGCTTGTTCCAAATCTCTGTTAAATGTAAAAGAAAACAAGGGGGTTAATAACACAACCATGCGCGGAGATACAGCATGTCATTGCATCAATAAACCATCAGTGCAAGCATTTACAGCTGAACTCCATATAGATGCAGCACTGCACATATAGACAATCGGCGGGCTATGGAGCCGCCGATCGTCTATATGTGAAACACCCGGTAATGAGTGTTTGCATTGGTCGGGTCTTTTCTGCCCGTGCGTGCCCGCTAGGGGGGCGCGTGCGAGCAGAAAAAAAATGCCGTCTGGAGACGGACACCCGCCAATGCTGCAGTGCTGTCTGTCCGTTTTTTTACAACGGGCGGACGGCAAGTGGTTAATAAATCATTCAAGCTTATGTATAGCCAAATCTTTTTTTGCTTTGTCTAGAGAAAGGAAGGATAAAACTCTCAGTTGATTTTTTCTGTCTGTGTACCATTGGGGAAATCTCCCAAAGTGTGAGGAATTCCCCTCTTACAGCATTATCCCCATTGGAAGATTTCAACTTGTTTTGGGAACAACCCTAATGTTGGATTCTTCCTCTTTTTATTTTGGTGACTACAAATAGGGAGGTGAATCTCCCCAATGGGACTTAGGCAACCTCAGCACTCCAGCTGTGGTGAAACTAAACTACAAATCCCATGAGGCATTGCAATTTCTGTGTGGAGAACCTCCCCTACCCAAGCTAGATCTGTTTTATGCATTGGGAAACTATTACTTACAGCAGAAGAGATTGTCATAATGTGTTGCCATTTATCCATAGCAATGGGTGGAGTGAAAAACTTTTATCTTGTACCATCTGTTTGGTTTAAGACGTTTATATTGTATGAAGTGTATGTGCAATGCTGAAATATTCCCTTTTTTAGGATGCTGTCATTTAACTATTCCTATTAGAAGATTCTTGTTTGTTTCATTTTTGTTTCTAAAATGTTTAGGGTGTGCCTCAATAGCAAGAATGTATAAAAGGTTGTTCTGAGAGTGCTGAACCTAGGTTGCATTTAGACAACTTAACCACTTAAAGACCGGGGTGTTAAACCCACTTCCTGTCCAGGCCATATTTCAGCATTCAGCTCTGCGGTACTTTGACTGACATTCGGTCATGCAACGTTGTACTGACATTCATTTTATATCGCTTTCATTTGGTGGTATTAAATCACCACCGTTTGTTTCTTATTTTTTACTAAATAAAGAATAGTACTGACAATTTTGAAGAAGAAAAACAAACAAACATTTTCCCTACATCGTTATGAAACTATTATTAGCCAATGTTTTGGTAAAATATAAAAGATGGGGTCATGTTAGGTAAATAGATACCAGAAATGTCAAGCCTTAAAACTGCATGTGCCCACGCAATCACAAAAAAAATACCATACCCAAAATTGGCCTTAGGCAGTGCTTTAAAAGCTTTTGCTGCTATACATTTAGTATTAAGAATTATTGCTTGCAACATTTGTAGTGGTATGTAACATGTGCGACACAATCAGCGTTTTCGCACATAGGCGCACCCGACGTGTGTTTTTGCGTTGGTATGTGGGGGCAGGGGACTTTAAAAACGTTTTTTGTGCTTCTTTAATTTTCTTTAAATGTGACTAATTTTTTTTATTTTTTTTTTACACTTGACATTTTACAAATGACAGCCTGAAAGCAGAAGTGATGTAATACACAACACTTCTGCATTTAGTGATCGGAGGGGAGGTCAGCCAGTGGAAGTGTGCTGATCTCCCTTCAATCTCAGTGCAGAGATGGAACACAGGGAACAGTGGAGCCCGTTATAGCAGGCAGTGCTGGTGGAGGAGGAGGAGGGGCACCCACACACTCCGATACAGCTCTACAGCCACCCAAACGCTTGTATGTAACAGCTGTTGTCGGCTATTTTATACAGTGGACGCGCGCAAAAGACACACTACATGCTCGGCGACCCACATCCAAGAGCTTGTTGTCCATCCGTTTATATACAACGGGCGGACGGCAAGCAGTTAAACACTTGTTTTCATACATGTATCAGCATGGACTATCCAATCCATCAATAAATATGAGGCAATATTAGCAAGTTGCACACACACACACACACACACACACACACATATATATATAGTTGCACATATATATATATACATACACACACACATACATACACACGGTCATGGCCAAAAATATTGGCACCCCTGCATTTCTGTCAGATTATGCACCACTTTGCACAGAAAATTGTTGCAATTATAAATGTTTAGCCATTCTTTAGCTAGTAGCTGACCATGGTTAATTTGGCAGCATGTCAAAAAATTTTTATATGACATAATTTCCCATAATTTATTTTTCTAGAACCACAGAAGCTATAAAGCTGAACTTGGTGGTGAGCTCTGTAAGAAACTGGGAAAAAGAAACAAGTAAAATGATAAAAGCAAAAAATGGTGTTCGATGTGCTTACTGTACGTTCTTACCTAGTTAAAAGAAGAGCCTTCACTCTCTGTTCAGGGTTTACACGAGCAGTATACTTCCTTGCTTCTGACTTGTTATTTTGCTTCATACATATTTCAACAAATGGCTGAAAGAAATAATTACAAGTAGGTTAGCTTAACTGCTATTGAGATTTTCCCATAATGAAAAGAAGGTTGGGACACTGGCAAACAGAAAAAGTCAGCCCCACTAGAATTTCTCCTCTACAAAGCAGGCCTGTTTTTTTTGCTAATGTCTCAAGACAATTGGGTGCCATTTCTTAAGCTCTGCTTTTTGTGCCTAGCGTCCTTCTCCTGCAGGTGGCGATATTACCCTACCATTCAGGATCTACGATCTGTTGCCTGTGTCCTTCAATGAACGAGAGAGAAAAGTCATTTTGCTAGCCTAACAAATGTGACTTTAATCAAGATTTGTTTTGCTACACTGCTGGTGTTTTAATTTTTTCCCTTGGTGCCTTCATGTAAGATTCCTTACTGTACCGCTGCTTAAACTGGTCTCAACATAGCAGCTATACAGTTCAGCAGCTTAACCGCCAACTTTGGAAGCTGTACCTAGGCCCTGGTGGACTGGATGTGCAGGGCTAGCTTGTAATGTGACTTTTGGGCACTGGGCTCTGCCTTCCAGACCTGAGTGTTCTGTGTTGATTAGCAACAGAGCGCTTTTTGGGAACCAGAGCCATGGCACAGCCCCAGAAATGACCCCCGTCTCTGAAGACACACTTTCTGGCTAAAGCATCAGGAGTTACCTCAGGAGTCAGGAGTTACAATTAAAAAAAAACATTTTTAAGTCCCCACCCCCGCAAGCCCACACGTCTTCACGTAAACACGCGTCGGGTGCGCCTACTATGAAATCGACTATCGCGCTACACATGTTGGGGTTTTATGGTAGATCCCATCGCACTCCTGACCGGAAAACCCCAAAGTGCAGGGGGGTGCTGGAGCGACCGCAGATGCCTCTGCATGTCAAAAACTGTAACTGGTAGAAAGTAATTTGCACTCTAGAAACTTTTGTAGTCAATCTTTATTGACCATCAAAGTGTCACATAACTTTAGCTGTTGTTGGGTATCGCCGTGCACGCCGGAGGGTGGGCAATAATTCTAGGTCCAATATTTACACGCATCTCTAAACTGATGACCTGTGGGGGCTTTTAAAGCGTCGTCTATGGACGTTTTGGGGTACTGAAGTTTGTCGCAGTTTCACGGACGCACGCAATTTTTAACCTGGGCATGTCGGGTATCTATTTACTTGTTTGTAACCTCATTTTTTAAATTTTATTTAAAAATGGGTATTTTATTGTGTTTTGGGGCATTTAAGTGCTTTTTTCACTAAATGTTGGGGTTTGATAAAGAGTTGCGCTTATATCATGCAACATAAAAATTTAAAGTGACATTAAACCCTCAGATTTTTTCACATAAACCAATACTGTAATGTGCGCCTTACTGTAATCCATGGTAGTTTCCCTTCTCTTTGCTGCTCTTCCTTTTAAATCTGTATCTCTTCTCATGCTGGGCAGAACTTCTGTTTTGCAGCAGACTGCCTTGTCTCTGAAAGGGATACATGGTGTCTGTGTGTTGGTTTGCAACCTGAGCCAGCGCTACAGGAAGAGGGACTCAGCTGCAAAGGGAAGTTCTCCCCTAGCATGAGAAGACATAAGGATTTAAAAGGAAGAGCAGCAAAGGGTTACAGTACTATATATGTTATGTGTGATTATTCTTTAAATATTTACAAATATTGATCAAAATATTTACATGAAGCTAATCCCAATTACTAATACACCTTAAATTACATTATGAAAACCATTTGACCCTATAAAGCCGTACTGCAGCCAACATCTTATTTTCTTAGATTTGAGAAGAGTTAAAATTTTAGATGAGTTTCTATTCCTGTCTATGACCCCACAGGGGAGATTTTCACTTCCTGACCTTGTGGCGCCAGTAAAATATATGGAGGGGATCGTTGTCACTGACCAGGAAGTCACAGACAGCAATAAAAACAGTGTCAGCAGTTCCAAACCTTCTTCACTTGCATTTTGTAGGTGATCCCATCTGAGAAATTTTCCAACACTATCTATACTGAAAGGAAGTGAAGGGAAATCACCTCAATGGGGACACAGCAATAAACACTTCACATAGGCTTTAACCTTTCCCCACTCTATGGAAAGCTATGAAGTTGGGCTTTAACCGTTCGATGAGGAATAACATGTGTAAGTCAATAATACTGATTGCAAGTGAAAACAATTACCAAATATCCTACGGGAGATTTTTTACTTTTTGAAAAGTTCTCCAACTCTACCCAGTCTTCCTTCTCTGCCAGTGCAGTTAATTTCAGCCACCAGTACCTGAGGATACAAAGACATAGGTTATCTTCATCTGACCAAAAAAGAAACCGATGAATACATAATTGATGAGGTAAAGTTAAATCTGGAATCTATAGGATTGCATTTTCTAATCTGCATAATAGATGTAGACTACCATTGCTGAGCTCCTTCTGAAAATGCTAGATGTCTGGCTGTTCTAATGAATTGTGCTGATGGTTTCAGTTCTTTTCTAAGTCATTGACTTGGAACAATCACATAGATTTAGGTTCCATTTAAAGTTTTTAAGATTTCTATATTAAAAGAATACATGAACATAAAATCTATAATTTAATAATGGTAATGATCACCAACCCTCAAACAAATAGAGTAGATACAGTAAAAATCAAAAAGATAGAAGTGGAGTAGATAGATTTTCCACCATGTTATAGTGCTTTGCCCGAGTGTTCACCTCATTGATCCTTTTCCGATTTTTATAGTGGTGCAATCTGGAATTAAAATGGATTTAAATGGCATTTTTACTAGGGATGCACCGATACCACTTTTTTTAAGACCGAGTACGAGTACCGATACTTTTAATCAAGTACTCGCCGATACCAATTACAAATACTTTTTCTTAAAGGGACCGGTCACATTTTTTCTAAAGCAATATAAACTAATGATGAATGAATGCTTACTTGATATAATCACTATTCAGCAATGGAAAAAAAAAATATTTATTCATGCTGTATTTACTCAGCTATGAATTCCTGGCTGGAATCCATAGTTTTGCACTTACAAGTTGCAATATCACAGGCCAAACCTCTGCTTTTGCTCCAATTATCATATCTCCATCAAACTTTTCCAAAAGAAAAAAAAAATCTTAAAAACTTACATTTAGGCCTCATTCACATGACTAACAGCCAGCCCATACTGATCCGTGCTGCGGATGGATCCTGTCTGCGTCCGAGCATGGACACCCGCAGTACGCAGCAAGGATTGAAAATATTTTTTTTTTACTTTTGGAAAAGCATGGTTGAGTTATAATTGGAGCAAAAGCAGAGGTTTGGCCTGTGATATTGCAACTTGCAGGTGCAAAACTATGGATTCCAGCCAGGAATTCATAGCTGAGTAAATACAGCATGAATAAATAAAATAAGTTTTTTTTTCCATTGCTGAATAGTGATTATATCAAGTAAGCATTCATTCATCTTTCACCATGCTTTATTAATATATAGTAAGCATTCATTCATCTTTCACCATGCTGTATTAATATATGTAACATTGCAAGGCATTCCTGGACCTGTATATCAATATCTTTTTAAAATGTGCCAGTTATACAGAATTGGATATAGCTGTGCCACACTATATAATACAGTGTTCTGGAGTCTGGACATGTGCTCATCTATTTTCCCCACTATGGAGATACAAGGCTTAGTTAACAATGGCATGATCTAAATATTCATTTAATTATTCAGTCTTTAATTTTATATTATAAAGTTTATAATATTTAAAAAAAAAAAGACATTGAATAATGAAATGAATATTTAGATCATGCCATTGCTAACTAAGGCTTGTATCCCCATAGTGGGGAAAATAGATGAGCACATGTCCAGACTCCAGAACACTGTATAGTGTGGCACAGCTATATCCAATTCTGCATACCTGGCTTTATATTATAAAGTTTTTATACAAGCCTTAGTTAGCAATAGGCATTATCTATATATTCATTTTCTATTGTCTTTTTAAATATTATATGGCATATGCAGTCAACATTACAGGCATATATCTATTTTTTTGTCATGTGCCCAGCCGCCATGCGGTGCTACTAACCTGCTGCTGTGACGTCTCCGTCTCCTTCAGCCACTCCGTGTCACAGCCTAGTCATTTGCTCCATGCTGGCCTCTTCTCCCGCTGATTGGCCAATTGGATGATTGACAGGCTTCCGCTCCAGTCTGGAGTGAGGACTTGGAGGCGGAGTCTATTACTGCCGTGGAGGAGAAGTTCGCGGCCATGTTTTTTGAATGCAGACGCTATGGAGGTCGGCGGTTTCGTATCCTCGGAGATGGCGCAGGTACTCGTTGTATCGGAGTATTTGCACGAGTAGTGCAGATTATTGTAATACATTTTAATCTGTTTCTATGATCTCTGTCCAAGTCAAACATCCAGGATTTTGTTTTTTTTGGAAGCATGTATGTTCTTGTATTTAATTGTTATATGCCCGAATGCATTAGGTCTAATTAACATTTGTACATGTAAATACAACTCAAGATGTGACTAAAAATACAACCTAATGATTATTGCAACACTGAAATTACCTTTTTTCAGGAATTCTAAATTCTTTATAAAGCTGTTCAGCTTTTTTCTGCATGTTATCAAGTATCAGATTGTAGACTGTCTGATGTAAGGAGTAATCAAGATAAGGCTTATCAAGCTTCTCCTGTAGTGCACGCTGGATCCTTAGCAATTTAATTTGATCCTCTGTTACCTGTAAAATACAAAGTGAATACAGCAACAAATAAGTGAAAATCAACAGGGAACAAGTAATGATTATCAATTCTACTAAAGCAGCATATTATCTTAAAGCTGACGTACAGTCTGGGACCCGATTGCTGGTAAGAAACATGCTGACAAGAGGAGATTGAAGGAGAGCAGAAGACTGGTGAGTTCTTCTATGCCCAGATACATGCTGGGGTCAAAGAGGTGACCAGGAAGTATTGCATAAGTACAGTATAGTAAAGTCAGGTCACCAGCTTTGTTCTGCGATTAGACAGGGCAGAATAAATTGGATAAATAGAAATACAAACTTTTTGGTAGGTAAAAGCTTATCTATGTGCACATGTGCATTAAGTTGTTTGCCTGGAGACCTGGATGGCAGACCTAAACAATTGCCCCCAATGGTAAAACAAAATATACAAATCCTCAGCATGCATTTCCTGCCTGATATACTGGCCCCTTTGATGGTGGAAAGGTTAAAGTCATTCAGTTGTGTCATACTCTCCTTAAACATCCACTTGTATCATCATTATCCAATCGTGGAGCCATTCAGTACCATGATACCAAGACCCTCCAATAGAGCATATTATGATTCCAATTATCCTTTTCTGCAGACCCACGCCACAATGTGACTGATTAAACTATCTACATTTGTAGCTCAGGACTATTGGAGCCAGCAGATATATATTTTTCAAATACAGACAGAGACCTCCACCGCTCCTTCCACATGGCAGCTTGGGTTTGTTGCAGGCGCTGGCCAGATCCAAAGAAACAGCTGCATACTGCTAATCTTCATCCAGTGCTTCTTTATTTGCAAGATCCAGTCTGTTCCAAACTTATGATCCCTGCCTGCTAGTCCCTCACTACTAACCCGTTTCACCCAATTGGGCTTAGTTGTAGAGTAGTACTCTACGATTAAAAGGAGAACTATGGGGTCAGTGTTTTTCCCCATAGTTCTCCTTAGGGTAACGGGAGGACACAAACTAGCGTCCTCCCGTTACCCTAAGCTCAGTATACCGCGAGCTACAGCTCGCGGTATACTGAGACGCCGCACCTGGAGCGGATCCAGACGTAGATGACGGGATCCGCCCAGCTGCGTGAGTGACAGCTGGCTCTGCCTATCTAGAGGCAGAGCAGGCTGTACCCGCCCCCTCCCCCGTCCTTTCCGCCAGTCAGCGTTGGCAGATCGGAGCGGGGAGAGGGGAATCCAGCCCCTCCCCCTGTCACGGTAGAGAGCCGTGACAGGATCGAGAGGTGAGGGAACCCGGTATGTGTTCGTTCACCTCCCGATCTACTGAGCCGACCTGTGGCAGTCTCATTGTCACAGGTCGGCTTAGAACTATGAGGTGAGTGGAAATCACTCATCTCATAGTTCTCCTTTAAGCCCGATTGGGTGAAACGCATTAGTGGTGAGCGAATAGCTTCACCCAATCAGGCGTTTTCAGAGTAGAACTGAGCAATTAGCAGGTGGGGATCAGAAGTTTGGAGCTGACTGGATTTTATAAATAAAGAAGCACTGGGAGAAGATTGGCAGTGTGTTTCTATGGATTGCATTTGCAGATATATTAGACATGCAACCAAATGTAAATGGGGACCTAATATTTTATTGCTAAATTCTTAAGCTATTATTTTATGTCTTTCCGCTTTCTGCGTATAATTTGATCTCCTGCCATTCACATCTATTCACAACATAGTAGTAAAGGATGATAGCGTCAACATTATTCAATATTTATCCGCTAGTTCTCTCCTCAGCGCAGGGAGCCGGGGTTTCATCAGCTCTGTGATCCCTCTGATCCCCATCGGGAGGTGACCGAGACCCCTGCAGCCGATGCCTAGCAGTGAGGAGAGCTCCAATAAACTAATATCATTAAATATATTCTTTCAGGTCCGCTCCTCTGCTGATTGACAGCAAGCAGTGGGCGGTACAATAGCCAGCCTGCTATTGGCTTTTGCAATTTGAAATAGTGTTTTACTGCAGGGATTATGGTGGAACATGCCAGTGCTTTAGTATGGGTGCTTTTAGTCCAAATCAGGAGCATGCAGAAATGGGTGACAACAATGCATGTGAATTAAAAAAAAGTGTTGTCACCATATGAAAGAAGTTCCTGTGGAAAGAGTTTCCTGTTAGGATTACCAAATAGGATTTGATAACAGGAAATCTAAAAAGGATTAAACTTTTTGTTGCCCATGTTCCTGTAATGTCAAACTATTTGGTTTAGGTTTTTGGCATTAGACACACTTTAAGACATGACTAGCTGTGTACTTGTTCTAAGTCAGTGACTCACTAGGCAATGAAGCCAAGACAAAGAGGACGCTTCTCAAGCTAGAACCTTTAAAAAATAAATCAGTTATAGCCAGTAAGTAATAGCCAGGACCTAGTCATAAACCCAGGCAAAGTAAGAACATAAAACTAAGTCAAAGAAGGGCTCAGAAGAGGCTTTGCTGGCTAAAACTGAGCACAGTGTATTCTTCAATATTTTCCTAAGTAGGAGTTTCAGATAAAATAAACTAGCCCGCAACAGACTATGTCTGAAAGAAGTTTTTTAATTCCTACGCTTGTGAGTAAAAAGAACATTTATGACTCCTCTGATAAAAAGGCTTTGAATGTTTGCATTTTCCAGAAGCCTATTGCCAACACCAGTCAGACTATGACTAGAGGGAAGCAAGACACAGCACAAAATAGAACGGACTCCAGATGAGTCCTCCATAAAAAAACTTTACAACAATGTATATACATTTGAGTATGAATAGTTTCTTCTCTCACCTTGGCAGCCCAATCATTTTTTGCTCTGTTGTACTCATCAACGGCATTCTGCAGCTCGGCAACACGACCCTCCACACTCTGTAAAAGGTAAATATCCAGTAAAAATGGGAAAACCCGAGTCCTGGCTATAACAAATGGTTGTTCTAATTATTGTACAACACTCTAAAAATGATTTTTTTATATCATGTAAATAAGTCCCAATTATACCAATGTCCCTTTGATCCTATATCCTGAGGGCCTTCTAGGGATTTGCTTATGCCAGATTCAAGATTTTCTGCGAACGATAAAGTTGGCCATATACTATGCAAATTTCATCAAGAACTGGATGAAATTCACACAGTGAGTGCCGCTGTCGGCACCCTTTCGGCCAGGATCCCTCGATCGGCTGATCGAAGAAGCTGGTTGGAAAGTCTTTGAATGAACAAAGTGGGCTGCCAATCAGCTGCGGGCTCTGCTCGGGTATTCTGACAGTGGCCGTTGTCAGATTGAACGAAGAGATTGGGAGAGTCCTTGATCAACGCTTGTAAGCGTTGATGGAGGAATCAGTCATATTTTCTTTATTCAGCTCGCAGGTTGAATGAAGAGAATCTTAGTGAATGGCCAGCTTACCTCATGTTCCTGTATGTTTTTATGATGATGGTACAAATTAGGAGGACTTAGGAAATCGTGTGTTACAACTTATACCATAATGGTTACTTTTGCAGTCATTGCTTTGAGCAATCTCTTTGACAGCAACTTTAATGTTCCTGATCCACAACACTACTACATTTATGTGAGCACTAACCACAGAAAGTCTAACTAGAGAGAAGGTCTAACCTTTCCCAACTATATCCAAAACAAAAAGTGTAGTTCAAGGCAAATAAAAAAACAATACATACAGATTTGCACATTTCCCATGTTTTATCCCTTTTAGACATGCTGCAAGTACAGAAAAAGAACGGTTGATGAACTAGAAACATAGTAGGGGGAATTTATCAAAACTGGAGCAGTTTCCCATAGTAACCAATCAGCTTCTCTCTTCAGTTAAGCTTTGAAAATGAAAGAAGCTTATTGGTTACAATGGGCAACTACTCTAGATTTTGTCTGGTATATGGTTTACTGACCTGTATAGGTACAAATTGCTTTCATGAAGTAAAGAAAGATATACAACCCCATTAAGTTATCTAAAAGTAGAGAGCATGAATACCTGTTCCATGCAGTAGCTAGCTCGAACATGAAAGTTTCCAAGCTCCTGATGATTATCATCTTGATTGTAGAGATCTTTTAATGTCTCTGGTTCTTGATGTTTGCAGAACTGTCAATGCAGAATTACATATACATTTTACACTCAAGGATCACACTCCATTTATGCACCTATCAGCCATTAAATTATCGCCTGCCTAATATTGATTAGGTCCGGAAGAAACAAAAGACAAAGAGCGCCTCCATCGCGTGAAAACGTTTTAATAAAGTGGGTTTAAACAAGTAAAACCATACTCACAAAGGTAGAATTTGTACAGGCATGAATAGATAAAAACGTGAAAAGCTTAGCCCACCGGCTAATCTTCCTCCCTGAGGTTAACGGTTCCGAGGCCACGGAAACGTTAACCTCAGGGAGGAAGATTAGCCGGTGGGCTAAGCTTTTCACGTTTTTATCTATTCATGCCTGTACAAATTCTACCTTTGTGAGTATGGTTTTACTTGTTTAAACCCACTTTATTAAAACGTTTTCACGCGATGGAGGCGCTCTTTGTCTGTTGTTTCTTCCAGAGTTGAGGCTTCCCCATAGCCTGTCTGAGAGCCTGCCCCATCTGCGGTTTTCGCTTTGAGATCACTGCAGACATTCTCCGAGCCTGGATACAAGCGGCTGGCGCTTCTGTCATTTATAGTTTGCTATTGATTAGGTCCCCCTGACCCATCAAGGTCTCAACCCAACTCCCAACTCCACTAGACCTCAGAAGGTATGATGTGGTGTCTGGCACCAAGACATCAACAGCGGATCCTTTAAGTCCTGTAAGTTGCGAGGTGGGGTCTCAGTGGATCGGACTTGTTTTTCTAGCACATCCCACAGATGCTCGATTGGCTTGAGATCTGGAGAATTTATAGGCAAAGTCAACACCTCAAACTTGTGTTCCTAAACCATTTTTGCAGAGTGGATTAACCTGCTGAAAGAAGCCACTGCCATCAGGGAATGTTGTTTCCATGAAGGGATGTACATGGTCAATAACAATGTTATGGTAGGCAGTACGTGTCCAAATAACATGCACATGAATGGCAGGACTCAAGGTTTCCCAGCAGAACATTGCCCTGAACTGATGCATCTCTATCCCAAGTAAGCGACACAAATGACAACGGCCATCCACATGATGTAAAAGAAAAGGTGATTCATCAGACCAGGCCACCTTCTTCCATTGCTCCGAGGTCCATTTCTGATGCTCATGTGCCCATTGTAGGAAATTTTGGCAGTGGACACAGGTCAGCGGCTATGCAGCGTCATACACAACAAACTGCGAAAGAAAGGTGTGTGAACACACAGAGGGGAATTTATCAAAACTGGAGCACACAAAACCTGGGGCAGCTGTGCATGGCAACCAACCAGCTTCTCTCTTTCATTTTCAAATCTTAACTATACAAACTGAAGAGAGGAACTGATTGGTTGCCCTGGGCAACTGCTCCAGATTTCGTCTGCTCCAGGTTTTAATAAATTCCCTTGACAGTGTATCGGAACCAGCATTAACTTTTGCAGCAATTTGAGCTACAGTAGATCAAACTACACGGGCCAGCCTTCGCTCCCCAGATGCATCAATGAGCCTTGGCCACCCATGACCCTATCACTGGTTAACCAGTTTTCCTTCTTTGGGACACTTTTGGTAGGTCCTGACCACTGCACATCAGGAACAACCCAAAAAAGCTGCAGTTTCGGAGTTGCTCTGACCCAGTCATTTAGCCATCACAATTTGGTCCTTGTCAAGGTCCCTCAAATCCTTACGCTTGCCCCTTTTTTGTCCTTCCAACACATCAACCTCAGGGACAAAATGTTCGCTTGATGCCGAATATATCCCACCCCCTACCAGGTGCCACTGTAATGAGATAATCAATGTTATTCACTTCACCTCTCAGCGGTCATAATGTTATGGATGATCGGTGTGAGTTCTTAATAAAAGAGAAGTCAACTGTACAACAATGGTTGTATGGTTGGAGCAGATCACAATGTCTATGATCCACTTCAACCATCCTACTAAAAAGTTTAAAGGATGGTTATGGCTTGTACTTACCTTCCCTGTGCTCCTCCATTGCCCCAACATGCCTCCAACATTGCAGTGCAAATCTCAACTTCATGAATATTGAAAGTTTCACAGGGCCAAGCAAGTCCCTCCGCTCACCACCAGGGACAGGACTTGTGTGTGGCGAATGGCTGTTCTGGCACTGGGGGCCGAACCGTGACATGTACCCCATGGCCAAAATTTACGGGTTTTCTTGGGCTTCAGCAGTGGTTCAGGTCAGCAGAGCTAGCTAAATGTCCTATATTGCCTGCTGTGCAGCAAAACTGTTACTTTGCTAAGTATGGGCAAATAAAAGTTCACTTGAAGATAGTTTGGGACCGGTTGTAAATTACTTATTTACAATTTTGACATTCACACCCAAACATCGTCAAGTTTAGGCTTTGAACTCTACATATTAATGTTATGCATTGGTAGGAAAGCGGAGTCCTCCTAACTAACTTCTGTATATCTTAACTACTGGTGTTATTGTATTTATTGTGCACTTTCTAGTTTGCATATATAGCATGTAATGAAAAATCTGAAAATTAATATCTGTCCTTGTGATGTTAATGTGTTTAATTAGCACACTGGTCTGTAAGCTCTCCTCTGCATAAATCATTTGATGTAATAAATGCAGAGGCAATAAATGCAAAAACTCGAGAGCAAACTATAAATATAAATTTGTAGGCTATGCCAACACTATATATATATATCTATATATCTATATA